CCCCCCCCCCCCCCCCCCCCAGCACCTGTCACACTGAAGTCTCAGTGGAGAGTAAGTATACTTACCTGGACACAAGGGCCCACCATGAACCTAGAGTTTGGTGGGAGGGGGGGTAAAGCAAAGGTAAAAACGACAAAGCTACGCAATGCAAGACCACGAGGGCAAAACTACACAGGAATGACACAACTATGCATGCCTGTGGTGATCATCCGCTGGCCAGCAGCAGATCTCCCAGTTAACTCTGATTATTGATAATCTCATAAAACTAGGAAATTACCAAGCTTCCATCTGAGCCATAGGGCCACTGGCATTTATAAATATATTAGAACTGCACATCTGGCCCCGCAGCATCCCACTGTTTCTATTGCTTACAATAATTGTAAAGCTAGTGTTAGTAATTGAGATTAATTATGCAATTATTCTCAAAAGTAAATGTTAATGAATTTATATCTCCTTAGTGATCAATTCATTGATTATTTCAGAACATGAGCCAGCTAGTGTGCAACCTGAGCTGCAGTTTAGAGTGTCCAACATTGAAATGCAATTTTGTGAGACTCTAACTGTGATTGGTGCAAGTGGTTCAGTTGGTGCTGTCGCTGCTTCCCTTGAGTCATCTTGTAAGTAACAAGGTGTTTTGAACACCCCTCAGCAAAATCAAAATTTTTGCCTACTCCACATCCATTTCTATGAATTTGCAGTTCCTGTTAGGGAGGCAGAGGTGGAAATTAGCTGTACATAGAACCTTGTCTCAATCTAGCTTCGTCAATCTTTTAAAATCGGTGAGAGTGATTGTTATCTATAAACAACAACGAAAACAAGGAGTTCAGGTGTGCTTTACGCTCGGTGAAAAGCCTTACAAACTTAGCTGTCATGCCTTTGAGGTGGCCAAATTAGGTTCCACTGTATTATGGGATTACTTCTTTATCTCTTGTTTTCAGGTACCTTTAGTTTAACATAAAGCATACTTTTGATGCGTAGAATAAAGTTAGTTTTCTTTTTTCGATGTAGGCGAGTCTATCAGCGAAACAACGCCTTTCATAGAAGGTCCGTCAGATACATCAGAAATGTACACTGGAAGTCTGTTCAGGTCGACACTTCTGCGGGAGAACATCGTGGAGAGTATAGGACCAGTGTTAAGCTTCACACTACAGGTGCCACAGGCTGCTATCAGAAGTAGTGATCCTGTGGCTCAGCCAGGTAATTTAAAGCTTTATGCAATTGATCAATTTGAAATTCTTATCAAGGTATTGTGGACTTGATGGTAGCTAACTTGCCTAATGGCCTGGGCACTGCAGTGTCAGAAATTAAATTTTGACAGTACTAGCCATTTACCACTGTATAAAGTATGGAGTTGAATAAGTGTGTTGTAGGATGCCCTTAGCATTGCCAAGTTTCTTCTGAATCAATAGGTTGCCTATTCACATTTCTTTACATCGGTGATTGAACGTTTAGCTACCTAGAACTTCTAGTCTTGATTCGTTCTTGTTGATCAGCATTTTCTTTGTTCTTAGGGCTAAAGGCATTGTTTGCATTCTTTATCTGTTGTTTCTTTTGGGCAATTATAAAGAACTTTGTAAATGGTGCAGGTAGCCTAAGGGTAAAAGTGCAAAGACCAGGTTCAAACGTCAGTTAAGCTCGGAGTTTGCAGGTTACATGTGTTCTTTTACAAAACACAGAGCTACTTTTGACAATCACTTGAACGCATTCCCAATAGTATTTTCTGGTTTCAATTGTTAGGTCCGCCAGGCGGTGATCATATGGGCGGCATAGTCCTGTTCCATCTGAAAGGCATTACACTTTGTCTTGATCCACTGCTGTACAAATGGATCTCATACAAATCTCCTGCACCAAAAGCAACCCCACGTCACAAGTCAGAACGAGAGAAGACTAAGTCTACTAAGCACCAGTCCCTCACCAGGACTCCATCAGCCACCACTCCCAGAAAGAAATCATTTGCCAGAGGTACTTGTATGTTAAGGTTATTTTCCTGCAGAATTTCAATTTACTAACCGCATCCCTCGAATTCGATCAGGTGTCTTGCATTTGGAGGCTGTGAATAGCTCTGAGAAGAAATTTCTAATAAATCTGTGTTTGCCAGGTTATGGGTCAATTGCCTCGCCAGCAAAAGAAGAAAAAATTGCCAGCAACAAAAATGACAGTCCAACAAAACAGAGTCCACCGAGTGAAAGCACTCAGGAGATGGTGGATGGGAGAAAGATGTTCGAGTCTTGGTTGTTTGACAAACTGCCTTTTATAACAGCCATGGAACTCCAGGTAAAGAGATGCTCGATCTTGAGAGTAAATGCCAATGTGTGTTGTCTTGTGATTACTGGCTTGTAGGTTTTTGTGGATTCACAATTGTCATGTTCACCCTGGTTGGAGGCAACGTGGAAGCATTGACGTATACACAAAATTTAATTCATATACAAACTTTGAAGAAAACTACGAAGATCATTCCTCTTTTCACGTCAAAATATTTCTAGCTTTCACGATTTAACAGGTTTCACTGTAATTCTTTATTTAGGTAGAACTCAAGAGTGTTGCTCTGTTCCTGCCAGAAAGACACATAATTCACGACATCTCAACCAGCGACATCGCTCTGAACTACTCCGTCCAATCTTTAAAAATCACCAGCAATTCCTTCCCGTCCACCCTGGTCATCTGTCTCCCAAGTTTCAAGCTTCACAGTGTAAACCACGAGCCCATGTCAGTCAGACAGTCCCTACCAGTCAAGATACGACACAGAGATGCAACGCGAAGAGAAACTCTGCCTTGGACATTAGAAGCAGAAAATCTTGCAGTGTACTCAGTGCATGTGAAGAAGAGCTTGCCATTAACTGGAGAGGAGTACCGCCCCATTGTGCATTATTTACTGTCAAAAGTTTCATCCACCGCTGTGCTGGCATCGGCTCGAACGTCTTCAGTGCCCAGTTCTCCTCCATTGGCACCGCCCCAGTTCCTTAAGCCGAGTAGCGCGGGAGGTCGGAGGGTTTCCACTCTTGGGTTTTGTGTTCACACGGATTTTCAACCGATCGAAGTCAGCTGTTCCAGAAAGCAGGTGGGAATTTGTGAAGTCACACTCGATATTTTTACTGTTATAACGGTTAATAACAATCTATCTTTTTAAATTGGCGGTGATGTCAAATCTAAATGTTTTTTTATGTTTTCATATTATCCTCTATAGATGCTGCTTGTTGCCAACTTGTTAGAGGGTCTCCTGTCAACTTGCTTCACAATCCCGACCTCGTCCACTTCCGCTGATACTACTTCCGGTACAACAGCTCCAGTTGCAGCGACTCCCGCCCCAGATCTCAAACGGACAGTTTCAGTCACTTCATCATCAGGCTTGGACCAAATGGAAAGTGAGGTGGCGCCATCAGAGAGCGTGTCTTCAACGGCATTCTCACAGATTCAACAGGTGTGGCATTATAGTAAAGCATTTAAGAATTTTGTCTGGTGTTTGGTAGCGTGCATAAAAAGTCGTCTTTATTGGCGTTTTTAACTCTTTTTTCGTTCGAGCTGAAAGATTTCAGACCCAAAAAATTATATAGTGGTGACTTAACCTGACCGAGATGCGTCCGGTCCATAAGTGACCTGTGATTGGTTGACGCCTCATTTCGAATTTTCCCGCGCAAGTAAGAACAATCACAGACACTGTTGAGCTTTATGTGGTACGGCATTGATGTGGAATGTTTCGGCTTTAATATCAGGCGTCTTTTGAGCGGGGGAAGAATTAAGCGTGGTAAGATTTAGGAAGACGTCGGTTTTATATAGGGTAGTTTTTTTTACAGCGTTAAAACGTAGTGCATGCGTGTATTTCCCGCCAAAACAGCCATCTTAAAACGTCTCATTTTCTTAAATCCTCTTTCAAGTCAAAGCATTATCCCGCTAGTACAATTACAGAGCTGAAGTGATTCAATTTCCTTTAAATATCTTGCAACAATTCTCTCTGATTTCTTTCAGCCATCTAACTCGATTCGAGTTTCACTGTGGTTGCAATGGACCATTCCACGCGTCGTCGCGAATCTTTACAGTCGGTCAGCGGTCGGTGATTCCGCAGTGTGCGTCAGCGCAGAGTTGGAGGATCTTACAGCCTCTATTGACTACAGTGACACTATGCTTCAGATGCAGTACAAGGTTGGAGCTTTTAATATCTCGCACTTCGAACACAGGTGAGTTTCCCTTAGAAAGGGGGATTCTTTGGTAGAGAACTGTTGGTTGATCTCGTGGCCAGACCTTCTTGCTTTAATTATGAATTAAAAAATAAAAATAAACGAAGAGCAAGATCATCTGGGAACGAGATAGCGGACGCTACGCAAACGCTGTTTGGGCTCATCACGCAATCTTCTTAAAGATTGCGTGACGAGCCCAAATTGCGCCTGTGTAGGAGGCTAGCTACGAGATTAAGGTTAGCGTACCACCAGAGATCTAGATAGCTTCAGTGAACACAAAGGAAAACAGCTTAACTAATTATTCTCTAGCCTGCGTAGCGAACGTTCCCGTACGAATAGCTTTTCTGCATTCTGGCCGCGCATAAATTGGACCGAAGAGCAAAAACTCGGCGACCCCACCACCCCTGCTTCGTCGAGGTTTTGCTCTCGCTCCAATTTACGCGCGGCCAGAATGCGGAAAAGCTCTTCGTACGGGAAAGCTTGCTACGCAGGCTAGTTAGTCTCTCATTCCTTTATCTTTCACCCCACTCAACACTATTTTTTGTTCCTTATAGATGAAATCAACCATGAATTTCTATGTCAGTTCTTTTGGTAGAACGACTATAATTTCCATAGTTTTTACAGATACAAAAGTCAGTTATAAAATAGCGTGGGTAGCATTTTCAGTTATTTCACAAAACGTAAGAAATTTACTGTAGCTGTGCGTTGTAATTGTTGCACGTTGTTATTTTCATTTATCATTCAGCAGTACTGAGGGCTTCTGGATACGTGGTCGTTTTAACGGTATACTGTTCTCGTGCAATGACATCATCTCGTCCAAGTCACTCTTCACATCCACGAGGCGTCCGTCCAGCGGTCGCCGCGAGGTTCCAGGTCCCGGACCTCACGGTTTTCTCACTGTCATGTACAAACGTTCCTCTCTTCACTTAAAGAGGCGAAGGTCGACTTCTGTCGAGAGAGCTGGTAAGGAGGAAGACTACTTTAAAGATCAGCACGAGGTCCGCGTCAACATTCAGCCATTTGATGTTGTGTTGTGGTGTCCGGTGATCGTGGCAGCTCTGAACACGTTTGATTTGAGCTTGTTAGACCGGTTTGGATTTCTGTCTGAAAACAATACAGTCGTAGAAAAGGCAGAAAGCGTGCTTCGTCTGAAGGACGACGAAGGAGGAGAAAAAACCGAGAGTGTGACCGTTAATGTCGACCTTCTACCTCTTCTGTTTGTGAACATGAGAAATCTGAGACTATTTATCCCGATTGTATCAGCTGGTAAAGAGGCAGACGCATTTCCCGAAACAGGAAAGGCGCATTTCCAAGAAGACATGACTGTTGTACAGCTGTCGACAGTCTGTGCTTCTCCTCATCCGGACAACCCGAACTCAAGAACAGTTCTAAATCGCGAGTTTTACGAGAAGTTTCGTAAATTCGGCCGCCGTTCCAGGCAAGCCCTGGGTTATGACATTCATGACGTACAGTATCAAATTGATCTGTGCGGGTTCGGCGTGTGGACAGGGAGCTGGGGACAACTCTGTGGAAAAATCAAACACGAGGATGGCCTGGAACTAGTTGGGATTGCTGTGGATCAGAATCCTGCGCTGGAGTGGAACACGCAAATGTGGTATGTGGTGTTAATGCCGCGTCTCTGTGTCATTTTCAGCGCAACATGAAAGATACATCAGAAAATGTTAGATTTACGTAAATCGGAAATAAAGGAACAAGGCCACGATTTCATTAGTTTTTTTTGTGGTTCTCAAATTTGAATTATCTTTAGTTAATAGGAGGGCAAAAAAAATAAACAAAGAAGGAACAAGAAATCCAAAAGCATGAAGCATGTATAAAATTGGGGATCAATGAGGCGCATTACCTAAGACGGACTTAGCTCCTATAACGTCGTTTTTGTATAAATCAAGTTATCTTAGTGAAAAGATTGGTCGCTAATGTCTAGGCCCCATATCTATATCAGTTAATTTCCTTCGTTCACATTTGAGAGCAATTGAAGATAGGGCGATTGTGCTGTAAAGCTAACTTCCACGCTACAATAATCATTGGGAGTTTTTTCCTCAGCGTTGATGTATTTTACTGTACATTAAGGGGGAAGGGACACATTAATGCTTTTTATTCACCACTAGTTTGTTTTGTTTGATTCACCAGGCGCGGCACAGAAGAGGTACACGTGACACCAATCATCTCCGGCTCAGACTTCAGAATAGTGCTTGCGCCCGCGATATCAGTAGAAAAGAACGTGACAATGAAAAAGTCGACTGTGTCTGAAAATGTCCTGGTCTGCGGATGGTCCTTAGAATTCAATGTGGTGACGGACGTCGACTGTTTCCTGAACAAGAAACAGGTATTTTTGGATGATATTTTAAAGTCTTTCATGAAGTTGGTGAGAAGTGTGGTAGAACGTTAAGACGTGAAGAAGAGGGTGAGGCAAGGAATTCAGTTACGGGCGTCATTCTCAAACTTGAGCTTTTTTTGTTCGGGTGCTTAGCGGCATTGCTCCCTCGACTGTTGTTGTATCACAGAGGGAACTGGGAACTGATTCACGGTTTTTACGCTGATATGAGCTCGAGCTGTTTTCGAAGTGTGTGTACCACTATGATCTTTTATAAATTCACTTGCGTATGTGTAATGCGTAGCAAAGCACTAGCACTCGTGACAAAAGGTTGATCTCTGTCACGTCAGTCAGTGTTAAGTGCCTTTGTCCAGGTTAACCGAAAACTTTTCATCTGTTTTGTGCAGATTCAGCTTCTCCAGACTTTATCCGCAGAGAATCTGAAGGTCCTGTTTACTTGCTCCTTGAGTGCCCCTCTAAAAGACAGCGCAAAAACACCATGTGACTCATCTGTTGCCCTTGGTCCAGAGGACGTCTTCAGGGAACGCTTTGATAAAATCGACAGTGGGTTTGAAAGCTCGCGCACCAACTTAACTACAAAATTCAGCAAAGGTGCGGGTGGGATTTCTAATGTCAGTCGAGGGAGGACTCAACACAACACAGAGAAAGCACCGGGAATTGAAAATGAAGTTCCGTGGGAGGTTTTTCTTACTGGTAGGAAACTTACAGCAGCCGTCTACAGCCGAATTCCTCTGGACGAGAAACCTGCGGAGGAAGAATTGCGTTCTAAGCCAAACTTGCCGGGAAGAGGCAAAATTGCGCAGATTAAGCCTGTTTTGCGAGTTGAGTTGGTTCACCCTGCTCTAACTGTGAACACGCAGTCCAGCGGACCGCGGATTCAGGTGTCTTGTTTTGACGTCAGTGTTGCTGGAAATTCTCCGACGACAGGTAAAAAATGTTAATTTGCATTGGGACAACGTAAACCAACGTTATCTTCAGGTTCAAAATTGAGCGAAACTTTATTCTTGTTCCTCAGCAGGTTCTATATTCAAACCCCTCCCTGATCCACAGGATTACACTGCTGAGTGGTTCAGGAGCGGGGTTGGTGTCCCTGATCCTCACAGTGGTATTCTACCGTCACTGATGACGGTCGACATCACAGATTTCTTGACCGGTCCAGGTAAATTACAAGTTACAAGTTATTCCATGACAGATTGATTAATTGATTGATTGATTGATTGATTGATTGATTGATTGATTGATTGATAGATTATTTGATTGACCGACCGACCGAAGGACGAACGAACGACCGAACGACCGAACGACCGAACGACCGACCGACCGACCGACCGACCGACCGACCGACCGACTGTTTGACAAATACCTGTCCGAGAATTCAATGGCCGCACATTATGATGTTACTCGAGGACGGATCATCGAAAGTAGAATGACTGTTGTGTATGTTAAAAACATTATAATTAGATTCTGTTGATTGATAGGCTTAACATCTTCGGTTTCTGTCGTCGAGTTTTTAGAATTTCTTTGTCACCATTATTTACAGTGTTTTGGGGATTTGAACATGCATTGAAGTGAACTTGGATATTGTTTTATTTTCTTGGGCATGCTTCGTTATTAATTTGGTTTTGTTTTTTGATTTAATTTGTTTATTGATTTAGTGCCTTTAGTTGCTTATTTATCTTCTATTCTATCGCGCTCGCTCTGACATGACAGACTTTCATCAGCGGGAAACTGTTCTTTACATTTCAGCTGAAGTGTCTGTGGAACTGGGTCGATCTGTTCACATGAACTTCAATCTAGAGAACGTAGAAGAGCTTACAGAATTTATAGACGGCCTAGTGCTTCCTGGTGAAGAGAATTCAGTAACCGAGAGTAGCCAGACAGGTGCCTCAGGAAGGACCCTGTTCTTACGGTCCTTTAGTTTGTGTACCACGGACATGTTTATCCAACTGGAGGCCCCTCCCGTTCTGTCCCAACCCAAACTGCTAGGCTGTGCACTCGGACTCGAGGCAAAAGCTTCTCTGAAACCGGATCTGCAAGGTATGTAATTAAGATGTTTTTGTTTTTTTGGGTTGCGGTTGTGGCAAATTTGCAGTTAAGGCGGCGTTTATTAATGAGCAATCAGAGGCTGAATTGGGAAAGATTGAGACCATCTTCCCACCATAGTATGTTGGAAACATTTAGGTTACTAACGTGAACCATGATAGAACAGTGACTTGCAAAGCATACATACCGCAGGTAGTGGCGCACTTTTATGTTCTACATTATCCTAACAAAAAGAAGATCAACCGAATCCTTATGTATTTATTCTTATATTTCCTAGGTAACCTAAAGAGAATAGACACAAGACTACAGTTACATGGTTTGGGTTTATCCACTTCTGTTTACGACAGATGCCGTTCGTTAATTCATCCATTTAGCTGCTCGATCGATTTGGAGACCATCTGGGCTCCACATAGTCGAGACCTGTACGTCCGGAGGTATGTGGTGTTTTACGTCCTGCACAGTTCAATGCTTGTGTATATTTGTACTGGAGAGAGGAACATGTACTCTAAGAGTAAGGAGTCTTGCCCATGAACGCAGCGTTATGACTCAGTGCTCGAAAGGGGCCTCGAGGCCGTTGAAAGTGAAGACAAAGGCGGTAACCATCAGGTAACCGCACAAAATTAAAACTGCTTCCTTCTTCTCTCCTGCTAGTGGCTGTGGCCTTCCTCAGCTCTACGCGGTTCTTGAAGCTGGCTATGTACAGATCGATGTTGGTCAAGAACATGTGACTTGCCTCAGTCTCCTCGCGGAACTGTCTCAACAGTTTACCAGTCCACCCGTGGTAAAGAAGCAAGCTGCGGAGGCTGGTGCAGAAAGCAGCGATCAGTCGCGTGAGGTGCCAGAGCAGGTTGTGCTGTATCAGTCGTTTGATGACATCCGAGCCGGTTGCTTTAGATACGTCACTGCTTCAGGTAACGCAGTCTTTGGAAAGATGATTTGGCTATGGTCAGGCATAGAACAGTTTGAAGGGTTTATGGCATTCGTTCCTTTACTTTCTAGAAAAAGCTGCAACACTTATAGTTGTATATCTCCATTTCCTAACCTTAAGGTTACAGTATACCTTCGGGTCGGCAATTTTCTTCAAATTTGGATTTTTGGGTCAAAATAGAGGTCGAAGAATAATCTCTAATTTCTGAA